AAATCCTCCAAAATCTGAAAGTGTTTGAGTGCCAACATGATGCTCAAAGGTCATGCTCAAAGGATTTCAGATTTCAGATGTTTGAATTAGGGATGCTCACTGGTAAGTATAATGCTTATATTCCAAAATCTGAGAAAATCCAAAATCTGGAACACTTCTGATCCCAAGCGTTTCAGATAAGGGGTACTCAACCTGTATAAACGTTTTGTGAATGTTTGTATGCTACAGTTACCAGCACACCACCACTCCATTCCACCTATCGGACATGTTCTGAGAAATCAAAACATTCTGGACAAGTATAACAAAATATCTTCAATCAAATGTATGCAACTGAAACTAGGCTATAGCCAGAATTAAAAAAAAAAAAAAAAATCCCTCCTGTCAATTCCACCTTCTTAATGTGCCCAGATGTGCTTACCTCTCTCCACCTTCCTGGATGCAACACGGGTGCTGGCCCTCTCGTCTGTCCTCCTGAACAGTCTCTGGTCACTGGTCTGCTTCTTCCCATCCACCTCAGCTAGTCCTAAGAGATTCTTCTAGAAATGCTAGTCCATTCAAGGATTGCTCTTTGCCTCAGGACAAAATCTAGTATCTGCTTTATTTTGCAACTGTATCAGTCACCTCCCAGAATCCTGAGTTTCTACAACACTTGTGCCCAGGCTGGGTCAGTTTCCCCAGTGTTCTCCCTCTGGGCCTTGACATCTTCTCATCTGCACCCTGTCCTCCTCTTCTGGCCTGTAAACTTTTCTTAGTTTTAGCTAAACCTGTACCATCCATCCTCAGATGAGAGTGGCTTTCTCGGGAGAGCTTTCCTTGACCTCCTGACGCTGGAATAAACACTTGCGTTCAAGCCATAATATCACATGTTACTAAATTATAACTTCGTTTTTAGCTGTAACCTCCCACTAGAATGGATGCTCCTTGGAGAACACAGAGGGAATCGTTTCATGAGTGTTCTCATTGATGGGCACAGGGACACACACGCTGTATGTCTTGAGTAAACATTTCTCCAATTCACCCAGCAATGAATGAGTGAATGATGGATGAATGAATGAATGGTATGCCAATATGTGACACTCTGTTATTCTCATTAAATGCTTCAATTGTCCCAATCACTGCCTTCCCCAACCCACAGGTCAGCTATCACAATCCCTGTCATTCCCTACCCCTAGTTTAATTAGTGGCTCACTCACTTTTTTTTTTTCTGTGTAACAGCTGGGATAAGACTCAAAGTCAAGGTCAATGTTGGGACACAATGGTTCCATCAGTAGAGTTCTCAGTATAAAGATTGAGGCTTGTAGAATCCACTTGGTGAGCTCCTCTGAGAATCTTTGCTCTAGGGGTTTCTTCCACATTGATTTGTCTTCTTTTTGATCTTGTTTTTATACTCCCTCCCTCTGCATGTCAGACTCATGTCTCTATTTTTGGCCTGGCTAACTCTGGCCATTCTTTTGGCTTTTATGTCATCAGTGCTTGGCAAATTCTGGGTACAGCTGCACAAAATCAACATCCAGAACTCTAGAAGGAATAGGGCAGGATTCACAGCAAATGAGGGGAAAATATTAAGGCTTACACCAGCTTCAGGAAGAAGCCATCTCATTCTCATTAAGCATTTCCTCAATCTTCTCCCCACTGAAGTGGGAAAACTATGAACACTCTCTGCTTTTTCTATCCTTTATTGAACTAAGATGGTTTATTAATAATTATTTGTTAATTATTGAAAAGCACTACTGTTTCGTACAAAGACTTTCCTATATAAGGAATCATTGTTGATCTGTGAAATATTTTGAGGAGGATGTGGAAGCTGGGGTGAGTTATATGCTCTACATAAATAAGAATTTTGAGTCCCTAGGTACCATCAAGGAGAAAGAGAATGAACAGTTAGTACAGGAGCAGAGAAAAAGAGAGAAGACAAGTAAAATAAGAAACTGGGCTGTGCATTGGTATACAAGAGTTAGTGAGAGACAAACAGTGCCAGGGTAGCTGAAAGGAGACCCAGGTCATTGTAAGTGTCCCCTCATGCAAAATGCATGGTGAGCCCCCCACGTCGCCAGGAAATAGTCTCCTACCCTAGTTTAGCAGCTGTCCTAGATGAGGGGGATAAAGCAGAACAGATTGTAATGATATAAGAAGCACCGTAAAGCACACACAAGACATCAGGTTTACAGAGGTAGCATATGGACAGCAAAGACAGAGAAATGCACACCTGCTAAAACTTTGGAGAGATCTGGGAGATGCTTTCAGACTTCCACAGTTGTTGGAAAGAGAACTGGAATCACTTTTCCTGAATATTAGGCGGTCAGGCAAGCTCCACTGGCAGCGGGTTTCCCCTTGAGTTCCTAAGTTGATCACAGTCAGCGGCCTGCGTGCTGTTAGAGATATTCACCACTGACTTCTCCCTCTGCCTCACCCTGGGCTGTTTCAGGACCTGTTGGTCCTCATCCCATTCTTCACCCCTTCCCTGTTCATGTCTC